GATTTCTTATTTTTTGACAAGATTTTTGTCTATAAAACAAGCTAATATTAATAAACCTAACAAAGCTAAGTTTTTGTAATTTTTTGATCCTAAACAAACTTCTATTATAAAACAAGATGAAGAATCTAAAAAGATTTTTTAAAATATTTTTGACAATAACAAGTCTTTTCTTATTCAGTAGGAGGTTTAAAACATATTGTATCAATTTGCATAAGCTCTAGTCTTGACAAATAAGCTTCCAAAAAATTAGAAGATATTGCCATGGCTTAACTTGTACCTCTTTAAGCAAATCTTTATTCTTAGCATCTTTCAAAGAATCAATTATTAAATGTAATGGCTTATATAATAAATTATTCTAATGAATATCTTCTTGACATTGTCAATAATAAATCTTTGATATTATCTTTTAATCTATATCAAAATTGATTAATAAGGGCTTTACCATTCGAATCCATGTTGCAAGCAATATTTTGGAATTTAGCAACATATGTAATAGCTAAATGTAATCTTTATTGTAGTAATATGAGCTTGGTCTCTATTATCCTTTTCCAATTACTTTCTCTAAATATAGTTATAAATATTTTTAAGAATGAATTCAAATCATAGAGTAGTCATGAATCTTTTTCCATCAAAGGTGTATACCAAGAAAGACCATTCTTAGAGAAAAGTTCTCTTATAAATCCAACTTAAGTAAATCTATTAGGATATTGAAAAGGAAACAACCTTAGATAGAGCTTTAGTTGTTATAAAAACCCTCAAAACTTTGATTTTGTTCTATCAAACTTCTCCAATAAACTTATCTTTGTTTCCGTATAGTAGCCAGATTCTTTAGATTTAGTTGTGAACTTGATCTACTTGTTTCTTTTAATTATACAACTTCTTAGCATAGACTTTGAATTTTATTGTTGACTTCTTCTATGGATGTAAGAATAGTACTTTCATGATTAATATTAGAAATACATGAGATTTCTATCCTAAAAGTGTTCATAAGCTCGTAAAGATCTACAATAGTTGCGAATCTATTCTCACCTCCGCCAAAAGTAGCATCTATAATTTTTTCTTCTATAGACAACTCAAAAAAATTCAAAAATTTAAATCAGATGAAGATAATCAATAACCTCTAATATCAAATAAAAATTTCTACAAAGAAGGATAATCTACTCTCTTTAAAAAAAAATCATTGTCAAAAAATTAAACAGTTTGTTTAAAGGAAGGTAGTCTGCAACCTTCAAAAGACAAAAATAGAAGTAGAATATTTCACTGACTTCTAAAACAAAATAAAAATAATAAGTTATCACTCTTATCAAATTGTTGAGGACATAAATATCAAAGAATTAAAAGATCAATATATTCTTGTATTATTCAAAAAGATTAAAAAATCATTCAAAGATGGTAGGATATTAACTAAAATGGCTATTGTTAAAGATAAAAAGACTATAAAGTCTTGAAACAAGACTAAAAACTAGAAAAGCATTGACAAGAGTTAAAATGGCTTCATTCTTGCCTCTTTATATACCATCTATTATGAGGTACATGGCAATATTCTATAGGACCTCCAACACTTGCTGACTTTGTAAGACACATATTTTAACTTGTAAGGCAAGTTTTCTATATGTGTACCACATAATTAGCTTATTCCATAAGCTATCAATATGTATAACATGTAGTTAACTTATTGATTAAGTTTCTAACCTACCAATCAATTACAAACATGTGTAAAGTAAAAATTATATTTACAAAGCTTCTAAAAAAAATTTCTAGAAGATATTATAAAATTAATCTACTTTTACGTACTTCTATCTAATCATATAGGTAATTATTAAAATAGATATATATATCCATGACATATCATGTATTAAATTCTAAAAAGAATGTTTTATTTTTATGACATATAAATTGTACATTGAATTCTTAAGCCACATAATATACTTATTAATTTCAAAAAAAGAAAAATCAAGAAAGATAGTGAATGATCTTTTGAAGAAAATGTATTTTTATTTGCAATAAACATGTTTATAGATGTTTTCAAGAAAAGAGCCATATTATAAAAGTTCTATATAAAAAAAGATATTAAAAAAGATAAGACAAGGAGAAAGTTCAAAGTTACTTTTAAATTATGATGAGTTGACTAATTTGATTGAAGAATGTTAGAGGTTGATTGTGCAAGTATATTTACAAGAAGCTTAGCTACTACATAGACAAGAATACTCAAATAAGTTATTAGAGCAATGTAAAAAAGATGTAAAAGCAATATATCTTATTAACATAGATAGAATGAGCAAGATAACAATGGCAAAGTTTATGTATAATGATGTGAAGTGTATGTATGATGCCTCATGTTTTGTTGAGAACATTCAAAATAGTAGTTATAGCTACATCATTTGTTGCAAAATTTTAAAAGAACTCAAGATTGAAAAAACACCAAAGGCTTTAGAAGATGCATAAGTATTATTGAAATTACAATTAAGTTTTAAAAAAATCATCTTAATGTTTAACAATGTGAAATTGAAGACATTGTGCCTATAGATGTGTTGTTTGCAAGCAATGGAAGCACTTTGATTGTAACTACATGAAATTGAAATTTCATGAAGTATTATTCTATAGAGACTCATAAAGTCAATATTGAAGAACTTGAAGAAGGTGCAAGTTTAGAGTTAAAAATGAGCTTTATAAAGGTTAACAAGAATAAGAAATGTAGATGGAGATGAAAAAAATAATAATCATAAGATTTGAACAATATTGAAAGTAAGCTTTGACAAGTTAAAAGTTAAAGAAAAAAACATATTTTTGGACATTTGTTGTTTCTTTATTAATGATGTGTATCCACATGGAATGTTGAACAAAAGAATATTGCAAGTATGGACAAACAATAAAAGATTGATATTGCAGCAAGATGTGGTGTATACATTGGACACATTTATTGATCATTAATTGGTGAAAATAGATAAAGATAAAATTATGAAAATACGTAATCATTTATAAGATATCGGTCGAATGATTGTTGAAACAAACAAAGCATTTAAAAGATACAAGAATATAAAAAATAAGCATGGTTTCATCTAACAGATTTTCATTCAAGGTACTTGACTTGACACATGTGTAAATGACATGCATAAAATCAAGAATGATGAACAATAGTTTGTATGTAGTATTTGTAGATATAATATTGTATCATTGTTTTATGAGATGATATGATAGCATATAGGTAATTATAAGATATCTTGTATTCATATTAAGTTTATATTGATATAAATTAAAAAAAAAAAAAAAAATTGAATAAGTTGAAATACTAAATTTGATTGTATTTCATTGTTTGATAGTTGGAAGGTTTATGTTACAATAAGAGAGAAAATATCATACAAGGTAACATTGGAGATATAAATTATTCTTTGTTAAGACTATTGATTGACAAAAATACTTCAAAAGATGTTATTGAAGTATAAAATACAATAATAATATTAATAAAGCAATCATGCAAACTAAAATCACTTTTTTTTTTTATATATAAATATGCTTTGTAACCTTACTTCTTTGATAACCTAAATAATAAGTTGGTAGTATATCTTAATATAATTGCAAAAGGAATAGACAACTTTACATCTTTAACAATGTTTTATATAATGGGGTGTGAGAACTTGATATTATTGTCTAAGAAGTTGGACAATCTTACATCTTTGATATTGTTCAATATCAATGAATGTTCAAACTTAACATCATTTCTAAAAGAATTAGGCAACTTCACATCTTTGACAATATATTAATACAAGTTGGTATAAGAACTTGACATCATTGCCAGAGCAATTGGATCACCTTACATCTTTGAGAAGATTTGCTATAAGATGGTACAAGAACTTAAAATTGTTGCCAAATGAGTTGGACAACCTCATGTCTTTCTTAAAGTTTGATTTAAGTTGGTGCAAGAACTCAAAAACATTGCCAAATAAGTTGGGCAACCTCACATCTTTGACAACATTGGATATTAGTAGCTATCAGAATTTATATCATTTATATTTTTAAATAAATATAACTTAAAATTAAAATTTAATCCTATCATCTTTATGAAATACATGTTTGTCACAACACTTGAGATAAATACTTACACATATTCTTTAAAATGAATGAATTGTAAAAGATGTAAAATCAGTTAATGAATGCCATGCAAACAACTACTGTTGCAATTTTGCATTTGCCATTTTGCAAAGGTAGTGCTTTAAAGTCAGAACCTTCTTTAATGTTTCAATGCTTATGTTCTTTTCAGAAAAAAAACAACTGCCAATAGAAACTCACATTTTCATTAAAATGATTATTAAAACTGTAAAATTATTGTGTATGATTAACTTTATAAACATGAAAACTGAACATTTTAGTTAAGAATATTAATTTTCCATGACATTTCCCATGCTCAGTTTTTTCACATGTATCTATATAGATATACATACACAAACATCACTGAAGAATAAATAAATAATGAGAGCAGAATATTCACTGATAATGTGGAAAATGTTAATCCATTGACAGTAAGTAAAAGGATGTTTATCAAATGTTACATATTAAGATCTGTTTAAAAACACAAAAACTTGATAAATACGTGAAATTCGTTTTTTTCTCTAATTTTATTTGCTATGTCGTGGCATAAAAAACGGCCGTAGGGGAATAAGTACCCAACTGTTACCTGGTACCGGATGAACAGAAAATCCTATTTTCTCCTCGCACCAGAACATTTTAATTAACCCTCAACCCTATCTAACTGCTCATAAATTATTTTAAGATTTTTTATTTTATTTTATTTTATTTTATTTTCTGAAACCCTTAACCCTGCACCCCTTCTACCAATATAGTAGGGACTCCCAACAATTGGTTGCCAACATCAACGTGTCTGCACACGCATGTATGACGGGCAAATGATGTTATAAGGTCACAATGCGACCTGGGTATCTGCGAAATTGATTTAAAAAAACTAGTGCAAAACCAGTGTAAAAACACAATGCAACGAGTGCAAATTGGTAAAAGGTAATAAACATGTATACAAGGGTTTATTCCTTTCATGATTCTTACAGCACATCTTACTTCGTCAGAGAAGGCTAACGTAAGTGGTTCTAGTGTAACATCTAAGCTCATCAATCGGAAACTTTCACTCCTCAATTCCATTTTGCAACCTTGAGATCATCTGCATAGCATGAAAATCGGGAGCTTCTCTACACAATGCTGTCAATGACCCAACGCTAGAATTTGAATTAATTTATGGCACAATATGCGGAATTCTTAACTCACAGTACCAAAAAATTATCTTCTACATGGCATCCCAGGGACTGATTTGCATCGAATTAGCTGAAGACTCAAAAGAGATTGTCAAGACTTGCCTTTACAAAAATATGTACTCTGATTACACAATTGATATGTACTCTGATTACACAATTGATATGTCAATTGATGACACAATTGATTCCCAAATTCTGCAAAGTCTCGTCCACAAAGTCAAGGTCTTCGGAAACCTTCCTAGCAACAATGCAAGCGAACTGAATGAAGTATCGCGCCTATTCGCAGGTAAAGAGAGTATTTTCCACGTTTCATGAGAACATTGGGGAATCTGTCAGGCAAAAAGAGTTCGTCAGACTATCATTCTGAAGAAATCAATCAGTGGACATGACTGATGGCTACTATGAGTTCCTGCATTCGTTCAATCCAGGACGTATGCTTTATCATTGGTCTCACAATTTCTGTTTACGCAATAAGCAAGTGGTAGCCCAATTTGCCACATCTTACCATGTAATCCTCAGTTTCCATTCACTAAAGCATATTGCTGGTCCACATCATTTGGAAGGTTCATTTAACATACTAATGCAGACTGATAGGGTAAGTCGAAATGTTACAACACAAAAACCAGAAATCTCTAAAGGTCTCTCAAGAGGTGTCTCAAATTTTGCGCTGATTTTCTGGCGTCAAAGAGATAAGAGGGATTTTAATGACTTATTACAAGAATAACAAGAAAGTTGAGATTTAGAAAGCATACCAAGTTATACATGAAGCTTTAAACACTCCAGAAATGTGTGATGTCACAAGTGTGATCGACACTCCGACTGGTCAGTGGTTCACAGTTGTAAGGCTATCTGCACTTAAATGTGCACACCGCATGGAAGCTCAATCTTCAGCATGAGCTACAGAGTGTCACAGGTGGTGGAATTTAAATTAATCTGTTGCGATCTTCAAATTCTTCAGACTATCACCATCCAATTCCTCTTTGTTGAAAGAAAAGCCATTTCTACAACTCTGGAAGGGTGATCGGTGTAGCAGCACAGCTTGGATGTGCGACAATACCAAACTGCAACAAGTGGAAGATGCTAGATGGATCTCTCGAACATCACTCAAACCCTTCCACTTGCTCCAAGCATCTTGTCTATGCCGTCCAGGGATGTAGTGTGCGTCACATAGTAACTCCAAAAACTTCTAAAAAGAAAGGAGTTGAGATTGCAAAGCCCAGAAGACCTCAGTCTTGAAAAACCCGCCAAAGGTAGTCAACGATCACGAACACAATGGCAGAGTGAATAGCACACTGCTTGCTGAGAACGAGTCCAGCATCGGTATCACGAGCAAGCTTGGGGCAGGATATCATCTGACACAATGTGCATTGAGGTTCTTTGCTTGTGACACGGACGACAGGAGCCGAGAAAAAGGGTAAATGAAACATGGTGGCGCTCGAAAACGGATTTATTACGCCACACAACGTGAACAGAGAAAGGGCAGACGAACAGAAAAGCAGTGAAAAAATAATTGGGCAATTCTTCTAATAAACCACGGGATGTAGACCCTCCCGAAAACACCAGCAGTACCGACGTCGAGAAAACTCCGATTCAGCGTTCCAAGTTCTGAAGAAACTCTCCACACCCTAATTCACTTCAGCAACTAAACAAACAACTCCAACCACCTCCGCCAGAACTCGCTCAGAGCAGCAACCAAATAAGATACCCTTGCTTCAAAACGAACCACACGGATCCCAACCTTCGTCACCAGAAAAGATTCCAGGAACACAGACCCTAATCACGATCACCGTTGCAAAATCAGGGTGCGACGAGCGCTCAAACTCACTGATCGAGTCCTCACTGATAGCTACGAACTTGTCAAAACGATAAATAACTGTTGAACATCAAGAGCAGAACGGCGCACAAAAACGCTTTCGATCCGGGCATTTACACATTCACGCCTGCATGCTAAGATCGGACACCCCCGACGAACCATGGCGTGCCCACGCACGCCTCACGAAAGGTCTCGTCCAAGCATACAGACAGGAATCGAGATAAAAAATAAATAAATAAATAAATTCGTTGGAAAGGGCCCTTCAAACTGCTCTTGTAACTGCGCGCCGCTTCGAAACTCATCGAAGAACCACGCCAAGGTGGAACTTTCTACTTTCAGCCTGACAGAACTGAAAGTTGAACCCCGAACCCATGGAATATATTGAGGTGCAAACCACGCTCGCTACTGCGAAGCGAGAAGGTCGACGAGAACTGTAGCGAGCAGTAAACCGGACGTCGCCGCAAAGGCGGCCCGAAGTTACAGTCCGTGTGGCCTAGTAGATTCGAGAACGTCTTTGTTCCCAGTCTTGGGAACATGGTGAACAATGGCTGCAGTTACTTGGTTTAGAGAAGCAACAGGATGCGTTAAACGCAAATTAGTGTGGTAGTGAGTAATAGTGGAGTGCGGTCCACGGGGGACAATGTAATTTGTGGTTTGGTATTGTTAGAGTGTTATTCAAGCCAGTAAATGGGCGCCACGTGTTGTGACGTGAATCGATAAACTACTCTGGTTTCCACGTCAGCCAATGGCTTTTCCACGTAGACCATCTGACGGAGACCTAAGCTTGAATTTGCCTGGACCCGCTGCTGGATCCTTCTGCTTCTTGCGTTTGCCCGCTTTAACTTGGTGGCGGTCGTTCCGTGTTGGAAATTAGACATGCGTAGATTTTACGATGCGAAGAACTGATCGCGTAGTACATGGTTTTAGGGACTAAAATAGATGAACGCGTTGGTTTGAAGACGATGAGAGATTTTGGTGAGTTTCGAGTAGCATCGCGAACCGTGGCCTGCTTTCGTCACGTCGAGTCAACTGTGTAAGTGTTCGCTTCAGTAAGTTAATTCTTCAAGCTAATCTTAGGGTGAACTTACGTAACTTCTTCCAGACCTGCATAATTCTGAGCCTCCAATCGCCGATCGCAGATTGGGTCACAGGAAGTACCGCAGAAAACTTCAGAAAGTTTGTAATGACGAAATATTAACGTGATGTGTCTGAGCATAATTTGATATTGACTGAACGATTGATGTCAAGTGTATCATCGACGAGCATCCACTTTGGTAACTCGTTGAGTTATGCACCTCTGGGGATTGACCTGCAATCTCGATAAAAGAGTTTCGAGACAGCTAATGGTAAACATTGTGAATCGAACGAGGGAAATTATTCAGTTCCCCCCGGCAAGCTAACCACTCGCGCAGGGTGGATTTTGAGACAATGTAGTCGGTAAGAAGGCATCCATCTTCTTGCAGCATTCTGGCCAAGATAAGGCGTTGATTTTACGGAAAGATGACTTCTGGGAGACGAACTTTCTCTTTGACGTTGTTTACTGTATGAGTCTTCAGGTGCACGTTCATTGTGATGGTTCGCCCGTTTAAAAGTTTTGTCTAACAGATTTGAGCCTGAATATGCGCCGTCTAGCGCGTTCTAGAAGCTAACCCCACTGCGCAGACATAGCACCAAGTGCAAGAATGCTTTCTTTTTGATGTTGTTGTCGGCGAGCGTTCCGCCGCTTTCAACATTCTTTCCTGCGACGATGAGACGCTGCTGGAATCCCTCCCTTGTCTTGGACTTTGATCTGCACGTTGTCGATGGTGTTCGAACTCTGCACGTTCAATCAATGTCGACGGTGTTCCTTGTCAACGTCGTCCTAACGGTCTGCGTCTTGACAAACAGAGCGTTCGGCACTTCAAATCCCGGGAACCTACACTTGGATTCGAGCATGGATTTTGTAGCAAGCCACAACGTCTATAAAAACAACATGATATCTGTCCACGCACAGTGCAGGCTATACAAGTGAAAGAAACCCCAAGGAAACTTAGAATCTTCAAAACAAATTTCCGTCTGGAAATCTTCTTCAAATTTCTCTTGGCTGCTCCAACGTCGCTGATCCATCCGTTGCTTGCCGACAGCACTGTTAGCGCCTGACCGAGGAAACAATTATTCACCTTCGTCGAAGATATCTGCTGGAATGACGACCTTGTAAACAAACAACAAGGTTTTGGTGCCCAATGGGCCAATTGTAATAGTTAAGCATCCTAAAATAATACATGCAAAGAGTGTATTATGCATACATTATGGTCAAATCGTTGTAATTTTTTTTTTAACAATGAGTATTTACTTTTTTTGTAGCACCTTTCCATTGATAGTATATATGATGCAAAAACTTGTTTGTGCAATATGACAAATCTTAATTTTTTTTAGGCATGTACATTAATTTTGATACGTTCAAATAGAAATATTTTTTGTGCTATTTTTTTTTTCTAAACAAAACAATATTCACATTGTATGGATAATGAAAGAATCAATTTCAGTAATGTGATTAATATTTTAGTTTTTAGTTTTTTTGGTTTTCTTTTTCTTTTTCTTTTGGCATAAAATAAAAATTTGAATACCATATTATTCTACATAATATGAATGGTATTTTGATTGATTTAAGTATACATTAAATAAGTAGACTTTGTATTATATTGTATATTTGATATTTTATTTCATATTTTTTTAATAGGTTTTTGTGATGTATGATGATTATTCCAATTGTTATGCTTTTGCTTAAATTACTAAGACTTTGTAATTATATACATTGACAGATTATTTATGTGCACACTCTCTATGCCATGGTATATCAGATTGTGCTTTTGCAACCAAAATCATTATTTGAATATTTAGAATAGGGCTTTGTGAATATCACACTGTATTGTTATAATCACCCATTGTTTCAACACTTTGTTGTCACATAGTTTTAAGAGCTTAATACTATGTACTTACAAAGAGTTATCACCAACCCCAAAAATATGCATTAAGAAAATATTATATTAAATTAAATTGATTCTATATTATAATATATAAAGATTTTCTACAATTGGTATACATAATGATATTTAAGTTGATCTAAATCCTAGTAAAGCAAGCATACAATATGAGAGATGGAATACTCATTTCCATCTCATTTTTTCAAATTTGTTGGAAATTCAAGAAAATTATGCTCAACATAGAAATGCTTAACATTGAATCTACTTCTACATTGGGAGAAAAAATCAAAGGTACTTAGTCATAAAACTAAATTACATAATTATGGTAATTATTCTAAATCATTTAATTTTATATTAATATTTTATATTTACATAAGTATTTGTATTTTTTTTTTTGTAGGCTCTCCAAAAATATTTCTAATCACATGTATTCTCAATATTTTCAAACCAACATCTCAATACTAAAAAAAACTCAAATATTTTGAATTTAAATATTAAAAAATCTATTTATTTAAAATCACAATAATACTCTGATTTATAATAAAATATATAAGAATATATTCATGTTAAATAATTCTCTAAATAAAATGAAGAAGCTTTTCAAAGTAAATAAAACAATCAAATCAAATATATTATGAATTATATTTTAAGCTAAGAATAAAAATAAATAATAATAATAATAATAATAAATACCATATGCCATTGTATACAAATATATATATATATATATATATGTTCAAATTCATCCTAAAACTTTTTAGTGTAAATAAGATTATCATTATATAGATCGAAAAGTATGTGCCATAAAGGAAGAAAAGATAGTGTCTACATAATAAAAGATGGATATCTATCTAGTGGATTTTATTATTTATTATCTAATATAATTATTAAAAATATTTTAATTATTTATTTAATATTAAATATAATACTTATAATGTATGCATGTAATAATTATAAATTTAATATTTATATAATATAATCATGTAACATAATTATATAATAAAATTATTTGATACAATCAATAATAGTAGGATTATAAACAAAATACTTTATATTATATTTTTATAAGAAGGAATAAAAACATATATATATTTTATTTATTTATTTATTTATTTATTTAATAATATCATAAATTATTAAGAAAAACATCCTATAGATAAGATACAATATATTATTAGAAAAAGATTTAAGACTATTTATTAAGGATAAAAATTTGATGAAGGCAAATAAAGAAGTGAGGCTTTTCTCAAAGAAATATGACAAAATGGAAATAAGAAATTATGTATATTAAAAAGAAACTAAAATGGCTATTTCCAAAAGATAAAAAAAAATAAAAAAAATAGAGATCCTTGAAATTAGATTAAAAGCAAGAAAAGAATTGATAAGAGTAAAGATAGTTTTATTCTTGTCTTTTTATATACTATCTACTTGGGAGTTACATGATAATATTTTATAGGATCTTTGACATGTATCCAATTTGTAAGACACTTGTCTTAAATTGCAAGACAAGTTTCTTATATGTACACTACATCATTAACTTATACCAGAAGCTAATAACACGTGCAACACATGGCTAACTTATTGGTTAAGTTTTTAACCTATCAATCACCTATAGACATGTATAAAGGTGGAATTGGATCTATAAAGCTTTTAGAAAGCTTTTCTACAAGATATTATCAAACTAATCAACTTTTATTTATTAATATTTATTCATATTATTTAAGTAATTATTAAATTAAATTTTTATATTTGTGACATTATCCCCCTTTCTATAGATAAGTTTCAAAAGCAGCAATGATAACATATTGAAGAAGTCTAAAAAATGATAAATTATATTTTTTACATACTTTGATCTTTGTTCCATATGAAGTCAGTTGATAGATTGTCTCAGCCACCAATAATGTTTTATTTCAAGGTGAAAAAACCACCTTATTATTTGATTATTGTTAAGGCCTTCATAACTTCTTTCAAACAAAATATTTGTAAGATTATTAGTAGTTGTTCCTACTTTCAATAAAATCACCAAATATTAAAAGTTTCTTCCACGATTGTGATATTAAATGTATTGTATCTCAACATTTATTTGAAAAACTTATTAATCTTGAAGGTCTTTATCTCTAATACATTGTCTTGAAGTCTATGACAATCACAATATCTTATTCAGCAAGTCAGCAAATAATAGCTCTTGAATTGAATCTGCTAGCTATTAGTTTTTTATCTTATTGGCTCCACTAACACAAAGACATCACAA